TTTAAAAAAAAAAAAAAAAAGACATCATAAGCACAGCATTCAAGGGAAAAAAAAGGCAAATTGGACTTCATTAAAATTAAAAGCTTTTGGGGGTGGGAGGAGGTAAAAGAGGGCAAAGGGGGTATAAATGGCAGTGGAAAGAGACTCACTTTGGGTGGTAAGCACACAATGCAACATGCAGATGATATGTTACTGAGTTATACGCTTGAAACCTTACAGCCCTCTTAACCAATGTCATCCCAATAAATTCAATTAAAAAAATTAAAAAGTTTTGTGTGTCAAAGAACACTTACCAAGTGAACAGACACTATCAAGTGAAAAGACAACACACAAAATGGTAAACATTTTTGCAAAACATGTAGAATAAGGGTCTAGTCGCCATAACATATAAAGAACTCTTACAATTCAACAATAAAAGATGAACAATACAATTTAAAAATAGGCAACTGGTTTGAATAGACATTTTTCCAAAGAAGATATACAAATGGCCAATAAGCACATGAAAGGATGCTCAACATCATTAATCATTAGGGAAATGCAAAGCAAAACTACAATGAGATACCACTTTACAAATAGCAGGATGGCTACACCAAAAGACAAACAATACCAAGTGCTGTCTCCAAGGATGTGGAGAAACTGGAACTTTCATACAGTCAAGTGCCACATTATGTTTCAGTCAACAACAGACCACATATATGAGGGTAATCCCTTAAGGTTATAACAGAGCTGAAAAATTCCTACTGCCTAGTGATGTCTCAGCAGTCATAACATCAAAGCACAACACACTACTCATGTGTTTGTTGTGATGCTAACGTAAACAAACCTACTGTGCTGCCAGTGGTATAAAAGTATAGCACATACAATTATGTACAGTACATAATACTTGATAATGATAACAAATGACTATGTTACTGGTTAATATATTTACTATACTGTACTTTTTATCATTATTTTAGAGTACTTTCTACTTATTAAAAAAAGTTTGCTGTCAAACAGTGTCATGTTACTCTGGCAGCAGCCTCATGCATCTTGTGTTTATCGTGCTTCTTGATTGCATTATTTTCTACGTGTTGGATTCAATCTTGTGTTGTTTTATAAAGTAACGTGCTGTACAGGCTTGTAGCCTAGGAGGAATAGGCTGTACCACAAGCCTAGGTGTGTAATGGGCTATACCATCTAGGTTTGTGTAAGTGCACTCTATGAGGTCCACAAGACAAAATCACCTAACAATGCATTTCTCAAAATGTATCCCTGTCAAGTGGGGCATGACTGTATTACTGACAGAAATGTAAAATGGTACAGCCACCTTGGAAAACATTTTGGCAGTTCCTCAAAAAGTTAAATATATAAAGTTATCACATGATCCAACAATTCCACTCCTAAGTGTATATCCAAGCGAATTAAAAATACACATCCATATAAAAACTTGTCCCTAAATGCTCATAGCAGCCCAAAAGTGGAAACAACTCAAATGCCCATCAGCTGATAAATGGATAAACAAAATGTGGTGTATCCATACAACCAATGGAATATTCAGCCACAGAAAGAAATTGCTATGGACTGTTTCTGTGTCCCCTCCCTCAAACTCTATATCTTGAAGCCCTAATCCCAAATGTGATGCTATTTGAAGGTAGGACTTTGGGAGGCAACTAGGTATATATAATTCATGAGGGAAAGGCCCCATGATGGGACTGGTGACTTTATAAAGGGATAGAGAGACCACAGTTGCTTGCACTCTCATGCTCGTGCGCTTGAGCTCTCTCTCTCTTTTCTCTCTTCCTCTTCCACATGAAGATATAGCAAAACGAAGCCATCTGCAAACCAGGAAGAGGGCTCTGACCAGAACCTGACTATGCTGCCATTCAGATCTCAAACTTCCAGGCTCCAGAACTATAGAAATAAATGTTTGTTGTTTAAGCCACCCAGACTATAGTATTTGTTATAGCAACTTGAGCTAACTAAGACAGGAATAAAGTACTGTTACATGCTACAACATGGATGAACCTTTAAAACACGGTAAGTAAAAGAATTCAGAAACAAAAGGCTACATATATGAGTCCATTTATATGAAATGTCCAGAAAGGTAAGTCCATAGAGAAAGTAGATTAGTGACTGCTAGGTGATGGGGCCGGGGGGAGTTGGGACTATCTCTTAACAGTTATGGATTTCTTTATGGGCGATGGAAGTGTCCTAGAATTAGTGGTGATTGCTACATAACATTGTGAATATATTAAAAATTGCTGAATTACACACTGTAAAATTATTTAAATGGCAAATTTTATCTTAATTTTTTTAAGTTTAAAAAATTATAATTTTTATCCAAATCACATTTACAACTATACATAAAACAGAAGCCTTTGAAATTATATAAAACAAAAATATAGAAGTTGTGGATTTTTTCTGTCCTCATAGCATTTTTTATAACAAGAAAAAAATTGAAACCAATCTAAATTATGATGCAGCTATCAGAATGATTGAGATATATTAGCTGAAAAAAGCACAGGGCCAAACAGTGGTTGACGTATGATTTAATTCTATGCAAACATACTTGTATCTGCACAAGCTCTTAAAAGTGCTAACCGCAGCAGTGTGGAACTTGGAAGCTCTTATTTTTAATTTTATGTCATTCTATATTATTTTAATAAAATTTGTTTGAAATAAAATATTTCATTCCTCTTTGGAATACAACTTCCAAGTATTTAGATGGCTTTCAAACACATTAAGCATTCAAGTATCTGTTGAATATAACATTTGCTGTATGCAAAAAAAGCTTCTTTAAATGTTATTGTCTTTCACAATCAGAAAATGGATGTTGCAATAACACAATCTATATTTTCTGATAGACTACATTCATTATCAGGCAGCATTTCCAAACAATTTGCCACAAAGCCATTTTACAAGAAGAAAAAACACTATCAGGAAAAAAAAATTTCTACATACAAAAAGAATACAAAATGAGAAACTATATTTCTAATAACAGAACTCAAAATTATATATTTATGGTAATAGTGGTTTCTGATCTTAGATATATAACATGACCGTGATATAAGGATGCTATGCCTATCAGGACATGAAAGCTATTATAATGTAGGAAGAGTAAATTTGCTTAGATTCATGCATGGAAAGGTACTGATGATATATAATAATGGGAACATTTTACAAGTATTAAATTATTTGAAAATCTACAAAAGGATATTAGTAGTATCAGAAGCCTAAAAGGTACATCAGCAAAAATAAAGGATACATATTCCATCTAATTCTTAATGCTGACAGAGAATCTGTAGGATTAGATAGACACTGGAGAAATTTGCTTTGAGGTAGAGATGAAAATATCACAAGAGAAATTCATACTTCTTAGGAAATAATGATGGCAATATAAGGGAAAAAACCTACCTGCCATTCAAACTCGCTGTCCGACCAATCCCAGTATGTGCTGATAGAAGAAGAGACATCGCTGCAGACACTCCCCTCAGGAAATAAATCAAAAGAAGTGAAGTCTTGATCATCTAACAGGGAATAACAATCATCTTGATCTCCAACAGAAACTGATGAAAATAGCTCCTCACTGCATTCTGAGCTGGCAACACTTGTTCCACAAGAAGTTAAGTTCCACCTTTAAAAAAGGACACAAAAGAAATCACAACAGGAATTACAGAATCCACCTAATTTAAAGATATAATACATTTATAAGGAATGGGGGTCTATTTGGGGTATGATAATGATATTGTGACTATTTTCAAAAGAGCCCTTATCTTTTAAGGCTATGGACTAAAATATTTATGAATGAAATATGTCTGGGATTTGCCTCAACATAATAAGGATGGGGTTGACAAATGAGTAGGGGTATTGATAAAGCACACTGCCATATGTGAATAACTTGCACAGGGTGATGGGCATATTGGGTACATTACACTAGTCTCTCTAACTGTGCATCTGTCTGAAAATTTTTATAATACAATATTTTAAAAGAAAAATTTACTTAAATTAGGGATAAAGTAAAACCTTCATCCATAAGCAAAACATATAACATACTGGTTATGAGTAAAGCTGTGGTCAAACTGAGTTCAAATTTTTGCTCTGTCACTTGCCTGCTATTTGATCTTAAGCAAAACACACCCTCTCCAAGCCTGTGTCCTTATTTTTAAAATGCAGTTATTGTGAAAACTGCAAGAGAGTGTATATAGAGCTTTTAGCAGACATAAAAAGCGCTCATTACATGGCAGCTATTATTATCATTAAAGGAAGACAGCAGTCATTGCAGAGCAGAGAAAAGCACCAACAGAGTACACAGGTAGAAACTCAAAAGTGTTTCTTTTTTTTCTTTTTATTGATTTCAGAGAGAGAGAGAGAGAGAGAGAGAGAGAGAAACATCAGTGATGAGGAGAGAGAGTCATCGATGGGCTATATCCTTCATGTCCCCTGCTGGGGATCGAGCCCACAACCTGGGCATGTGCCCTGACAGGAACAGAACCCTGACCTCCAGGATCACAGGTCGATGTTCAACCACTGAGCCACGCTAGTGGGGCAAAAGTGTTTCTTATATTTAAAAACCTTTACATATCAATGTTATACATGATAATTACAAAGGTGTTTGAATAAGAATGGGGTAACTAAGGAGATTAAAATGACCAATAATACCCAGCAATAACTAATCTGTAATATTCTGGTACTTTTTCCTGCATGAATATATATTTTTTCACAGAATCAGCATTCTGCATGTATTTAAGTATCTAGCTTTCTTTTACTTAACATTATCTACTGAGTATTTCCCCAAGTATATTACTTTAAAAAAAAAAATTTAAGGCCTATATAATATTCCATTGGTTAACTGTATCATAATTTATTTAACCTTATTCCTTCAATAATATATACTTAAGCTGTTCCCAATTTTTTGGTATTACAAGTAATACTGAGATAAAATATTTTGTTTGTAATTACTTATCCAAATATATACTCTCTCAGGATAGATTACTTGAAAGGAAAGTACTGAACCAAAGAATATAAACACTTCTAAAGACCATAATATACTTAGTCAAATACCTTTCTGAAAGGCTGCACCAATTTACACTCTGCAGAGCAGTATATAAAAGTGCTGATTTCACTATAACCTTAACAGCACCGGAATTTTCATTTCTAAAATTTTACCTGATGAGAGAAAACATTTTTACATCAATTTTTAATTCTTTAATTACTGGCAACATCAAAATTAAAAATTTTATTAGCTATTTTGCTACAGCGTTTTTCTCTTCATTAATGTTTTCCTTATTGGTTTTGTAAAGAATTCTTTATGCATTAAGAATATTAACATTTCATGTGTAATATTTGTTGGAGGGTTATAATTTACTTATTTTTTTTTTGGTCTTGAAATCTACAAGTCTGTTTTCTTTTGTAAATTTCCAGTTGCTTTATTCTAGTAAGGCGATAATCTTCACTGCTTTGGCAGTAACCTAGGGAATTAATCCTTAAGATAGTGATTTAGTATATTCAATACTAATAAGGTACTGAAATAATGATTTCCTGAAGAAAAGCCTTTTACCTATAATTAGGTTGTTTCTCATTCATTAAATCCAGTTTTTTCTTGAATTGTATATTTCATTTTTTAACTCCCTCTCTTAATTTGTATGATTAACCTTAATTCCAAAGTTCTTAATTTATAAAATTCGGGCAGCCCAGCAATTTCTATCGCACTTTTTCCACTGAGCTAAAGGTAAAGTATTTTAAATAACTGAAACAGACACAGAGAAACATACACCCTAAACTATTAAAGTTCAGTAAATATAAAAGCTGATGTCAACAAACTTTTATTAATAGGCAAATTATAAAATTCATCTAAGAATCCAAGGATATACCTTGTAATATTGCCTAATTTCATCACATGCTTGCTAGGTAGCAAGTATCCTCATTTTTAAAAAATCAACATACCAAGTAGAATTCACCAAATTGCCCGTGTTATGCAAGAAGACAATATAAAAGCTTTGAACAGCAATGGTAAGTTCTGTCCTAGACACAAGTAAACTGTCTACATTGTGTCCTGTGCAAACTACTTTTTCTCTTGTGCCTTCAAATCCCACATGACGTTTTTTGAACCTTTATTCCCTGACCCACTCAACCAACATTTAGTCAGTATCTTCTATGTACCAAGTACTGTGTTATATGCTAGGAAAAGCTGTTAGATAATTGTTTTTAATGAGAATTCCTTTTCAGCTTGAAAATCTTTGGTAGAAATGTGTATTTCCTTCTATGAGCAATAATGACTTCAAAAAAATCTATTTAATAATCTTATGGTTAGATCACTGACCAGGGAGTCAGGAATTTTACAGACTTTATTATTGGTTTCATGTTATCTTAGAGCAAAATCAGGATGTTCTTCAGTTTTCCAGATCCATGACTTTATAACAGATACAAAAGGGTTCTGGATATTCTTAGAAGCCTTTTTTCTTTTTAAAAAATAATTAACAGTGGCGTGAAACCTGGCTTATACTTGAAACAAATCATTTACAAAACAGAAAAATAGCATGTTTTACTATTAGAGTTATTTTTAATTCTATTATCTTCTAATTTGCAAATATTTTTATTGTTAAAGGCAATGTGGATAAAAACAAAACAGGAAGGACTTTTATCCACTACTTGTGGTAACGTTAAATTGGCATAATTTTTCTGGAAAGCATTTGGTAGTGTATATATATCAAGAGCTTTAAAAATGTTTATTCCTTTCGACTCAGTAATCTAGAAATCTATCCCCTTCTCCAAACAGAAATTTGGGGAAAAAGATGTACACACAAACATATCTAAACAATATTATAATAGCCAAAAAGGGGAAAAATACATGACTCCAAGGATGGGGAACAATTAAATAACAGTGTTTTATAGTAATAAAAATCTTATTTTCAGACTATTTATTGAAAAGGAAAACACTCACAATGTAAGTGCAAATAACATGGTCACAAATTATATATATGGCCTGATCCTGATTTTAAAACTTGTATGTGTACATAAAAAGAACATTAAAAGCAACAACATCAAAATATTGACACTTATCTTTAGCGAAAGGGATCATGAGTTGTCTATACACTTTTGTATATGCCTACAATTTTCTATCGTGAGCTTTCATAGAAAAATTTGTGATTCTTTTAGACTGTTCTGTCAGTTTCAAATATGTAACAAATAATTACTGTGTGCACGTGCTCAGCACTAAATTATTCAAATTTACAAAGCCTTTACATCTTATTCCGCTAAGAGAAAGCTACCTAAAACTGAGAGCCTAGCTATAACCATAAAATTATTCACAAAGGAGACTTTCTCCACTACCTTAAAAGAAAAATGTTGAAAAGAATCCCAATGAAGTCGGGTTTAACTCAGTAACTAGGCTTGCTGCCCAAATTTTAATTTTTTTTAAAAAAGGTAAAGCCAAGATTTATCTGCAAAGCTTTTTCACTAAGAATACACAAAAGACTTTCAATGGTATTTTGGTAAAATTAAGAAAAGCACATGAACCATATACACATTCTTCTGAAGCCCTTTTTCTCTCATGTAGACCTAACCATTACCTCTCAGGATGAGAATCCAGCCAGTGAGTACTGTGGAATAAAATCCTCCTGTCAGGCTGATGAAAGTCATTCCAAATCTATGCCATTCACTCTAAGGGTCCAGTCCCCTAATATCCTGAGTATTCATCACTGACTCACCGCCAGAATCCCCATACAGCAAGCCTGACCTCGGCTACTCCTGTGGAGCCCCAAGTCCCAAGTCAGAGCAGAGGACACAACCCCCCTAACTCTCTTCCCAGTGACCTCAATAGTCTTGGGATCATTACACATTCCTCCTACCCCCTCTACAGTCTGAAAATTAAAACACTCCAGGTCATTGTTAAGGCTATTTCTTCCACTTGGGCTTCTGAGTTAATCCCATCCATCTCCTGCCATACCACCCTCTCCTGTATTTTCAATTTCTCCCTTTCCTATGGGCTGCTTCTAAGGAGCTAAAATCTCTATTCCTGGAAAAGAAAAACTAAACAAGGCCAAAAAAAAAAGAAATCTTCACTTTATTTTTTCAAATATTACCACATCTCCTCTCCTTCCTTTCACAGCTAAATTCATTGAAAAGTTTCATCTACTGCCTCAACCTTTGTAACCCACAGTTCCATTCATGTCATGCTCCTGGAATTTCTATTCTGATTACTCCCAAATCTACATTCCTAGCCTGGATAGTTCTCCAAAGCCTGATCCCCATTTTTAACTTGTCTCAACAAGTCCCCAAACCAAATTCCTCTTGCCTCTGTAACCTCACTTCATGGAACGTGGTTCTCCACCTGCAACTCACAGCTCTTCTGCACCTTTATTTCTACTGTGGGTGGTACAAAAAGCACACAGTCAACTTGGGGTTTTTCTGGTTACTGTGACTGTAAACAGGGCTTTAAAATCACATAACCGAGTAACAGGCTTTACATAGTATTTTATTTCCTATCCTGCCAATAGGGTGTACAAAAGTGAGGCACTGTCCTCCCGAACACTTTTCACAATTTTTCAATGTCAAAGTTACGGATATACTCCCGAAAGATGAAAAAAAAATAACACGTAGAGTAGTTCATATTAACCCCCTTTATCTCACAATTTAATTATAGGACCTATCAATAACATTATACTTTTTCTCAATTTGCTAAATGACATCCTTTTTGATGATGGTGGAGGTTGGGGTGGATAACTGCTAAGACAAAACCCACAACTACATCAGAAAAATCCTGTTCCCAAAACCAAAAAAATAAAATAAAATAAAAATGTCTTTAACATTATATACCATATATTCCATATCGATATTGATATTTCAACTTTAAGATATTTAAGTCTTTTTGCTTATTGAAATTTATTTTATTCTCCCAAAATTTCAGACAAACCCTACTTGGTCATAAAATCCTAAAATATACTACTAAAAAAGTGTAGGTTCTTAGGAAACTGGCTATGTTCATGTAATTTACTTTCCACTGAACCTAGACCAGTGATACACCAATCTAAGTAACAGGTGACTCTAACCTGAACACTACACACATTCAACCTTAGGGATCATAAGTAATAGTGCCTGACTTTCCTGGTCAATGAAGGTTGCAAATATAGCCCAGAGTCCAATAAATGAACAGATGCAGAACTGTCATCGTCACAGCACTAAGGCCCTTATCAACAGCATTATTTAAACAATCTCCACAGTTTTCTTATCAGGCAACAAGGAAGAAGCAAAATAAAGGTAAATCAAGTGTCTACCCACTGACATGCTTTCTACTTTCAATGAAAATTTTTTTATAATGACTAAACCCAAAGCAGAATATCAGTACTCAACTATACAGCTATGATTTTTGGACTGTTGCTTGAATTGGTGAATGATGTGATGTGAATAAAAAAAAGTGACACATAAAAACTCCAAATAAAAGAACTCCCTAAACTTGATCCATATACCTGATTTAGCTGTTTGCTTCTTCCTGAAAAGAAATGACTGGAAACATATGGTCCTCTCAAACACCATCATGAGGAAGGATAAGAAGGCAGAACATTTCAGAAGGAGAAAAGATTTAAAAAGCAAGGTAACCCGGGGAAGAAACATCATCTGCTATAAATATTGTGAATTCTGCTTCCCCTAATCTCTGCTGAAAAGGATACAAAGAAAGATACATTAGACCTCCTACTGCCATTCCAAGCCTTGCAAAATGCAGGGGAGGAGAGGGGGGTTTTCAAAAAGCAGGCAGTATCTAGGAAAAATAACACCTGACTTGGGAAAACTGTGGCTGAACAGGAACTTCCTCCTCCATCTTCACTGCCCCATTCTGCAAAACAACCTTGATTTTACAGCATCTCTAAGAAAAACACGAGGAACAAATGGGGAGGGGAAAGCTGTAGGGAACATATTATTCTCTTTGCTTCACTCCCCCATCACCCCAGCCCATTTTGGCAGGGCTTACCCTCAGCCTCTGTCCTTACACTCCCTTGACCTCATTATCAGAGCAAGCTAGTACTGAAATCATTTCACTTTTCTGTGTATTTAACCGAATCCAATGCTGCAAAATGTAAGTATCAAATATGTGCAAACGTATTATTTCACACTATTTTCCAATGCAAACAATCCTAAGCATACTAGATTTCATGCATATGTGACATTCATGTAATAGTTACCGCATGGGTTAAATAGGCTTCTGTGAGTTAGTCTAAAAAACTATAACCACCATTTATAACACTGTAGCCATTAGTTCTGTTCCAAGTTTCAGCACTGGCTCCAAAAGAGCGGTCCTGGTTTTGCCTAACTCAGTTTTATGACCTTGAATTCAGTCTTTTCTCTCTGGACCTCAGTTTACCACCACTTCCTTTTAAAATGTTGTAGTGATGTTTCGGATAATTGCTTAACTACAGAACCTTGCTTCCAGATGATAATAACTTTCTTTTTTAGGTAAGAATCATATTTTATACATCCCTTGTATCTGGTAGAAGCTCAGTAAATCTGTAGACTGATTTAAGAGATAGCCAGGAAAATACAAAAGACATTAAAATGTGAAAAGAAGGGTTGTTCGTGCTCATATTATAAACTGGATGAGAAATCAGAACTAGACTCCTTAATTCAGCTTCTATAGCTGAACCCCTCTCCTGCTCCCCTTTTCTCCACACACCTTCCCAGTCCTTTGTATATGTATCTCAAACATCTACCTATATTAAAGGTTGGGGCTAAGTGTTAAAGCATCTTCAAATCCCCCATATTCGGTATAACACTTAAATGCTTGCTTGAGAGAATTCTCCAAAATACTCTCTTCTAATAAAACCAGTTAGGATATGCACCCCCTGAATAAATTTGTATTAAGCAAGCCTGTCCTAAGCCTCCCTCCATCTTTCCACCCAGGGAGCAAACCAAGGCATGTGCTACATGAAGGAATCTTCCAGATTTAAGCTTAAACATTTTGGAAGGGCCTAAAGCTCGAAGGCAAAGAGTTCATAAAAGAGAAAGAAAAAAAAAAAAACCGTCCGGTTTCCTAGAGCTTCGCTAAAAAGTGGGGGGGGTAGGGTAGAAATAGAGTTGTGAGACAGGTTAAAAATTGGGAAAATGAAGATAGCTTTAAAAGTGCCTTTCAAAAGATCCATGGGTTAATTTTGAGCCATTCAAAACCCACTTACCGGGAATGGAAGGGGTTAAACTTTTGCGGGTGAAAGGAAATGGGAGCAGCTAAAAATCAAAGGTGGGGATTTGGGATTCGCAGAGGACAGACGAGGGGAGGGAGGAGGAGGAGTCGCTACGGTCAGATGATGAATGGGGAAGAGAGTAAAATGCCGGCCGGCCTAAAGGAAAATCGGGAGGGCAAGGGTGAAAAGAGGGAGGGGGAGCGGGAAGGGGCCCGGGAATGCTGGCTAGTGGGAGAGAAAGGTGGGGGAGGGGTGAATGGAAGTGCAGACCCTGGGCGGAGCGCCAGGCTCGGGGGGTGACCCAGTGGTCCCAGACTTGAGGCAGGGGTGTGGGCAATCCGCCCCTGCCCCCAGCAGCGCTTCATACCTGTTGGTGTGGAAGCGGTGGAGGGGGTCGGTGCGATGGCAAGAGGACAGCTGGCAGCCGAAGTCGCTGATGTCCAGGCAGCCCGGCTCCTCGCTCGGGCAGGTGCCCACCCCGCGAGGGGGTCCAAGAATCGGGAAGGGTTCCTCGGGGGTCAGAAACTTCTCGTACGAAGTGGTGGCTGATGCCTCGTCGGACATGGCTGGAGATGGCCGGGCTCAGGCTACCTCTCTGGTCCCGGGCTGCTCCCACGTCCGCCCCTGCCCCCACTCCAACCTGTCCACTGTCGCCGCCGCGCCTGGCTTTGCCCGCCACAGTTCACTAGC